GGCCTAAGTCATTGAAGCACACCACCACACAAACAATCCGATTCATGTCAGTGTGTTCTTTGTTTACAAAGACTGACAGACAGAGTGGACGGCAAGCTAATTAGCTGGTTTGTAGTGATACTTCCTAAACCCTCAGTAAGCCCTGAGCTGTAACTGAGGACTGAGGCCTGTGTCTCTGGGCTAAGTCTCTGGGTAGAGCGAGGTGGTCTCTGTGAACTCAGGGTTAATGTTCTAAGTTCATTAGGGCGTAATAAAGAAGGTGGTGACAGGGTGAGGCAGTGAGATGCCCCTCTGGCTAGAGAGACAGTTGCAACTCAGTGTGTCCTTCTCTTTCACAACATCTTTCTTTTTCTCCTGGCAGGAGGTAATATAAAGGGAGGGCTACGACACAGTTACACACACCTCTCTTTCAACCTCTCCTTCTCTCTCTCCCACTTGTTCCTTCTCTTTCTTTCTCGCTCTCCCTCTTGTTCCTCTCTCTCTGTGACGAGGGCATCGCCATGTCCCGGTAGCGTGCTAGAAGGGCTGGGCAGGCCAAGGCTGCCGCCGCCTCCAAACACCAGGCCAGTTGAGTCATGTCGTGACGTGATAAGTCTACATGCTAACTGGGTTAAAAAGGAAACGTGTCCTTCTGTTCAGCTAAAAGCTCCATTATCTAGTTACCTACAGATTCATTGTGTTTGGAGGCCATTTGGAGGCTGTGTGGAGCCCTTCCACACTATCAGTAATGGAAGATGTTGGAGTTTAAAGAGGAGTTGTGTGCCAGAGACAGTCGTTGGCCATTCTGTGGAAGCACCTAGAGAAACCAGACTTTGCGTTTCCTTTGAATTTACCTCAGAACTGAAGCTGGCAGAGATGAGTTCGTCTGCAGTGGACAGTCAGTCAAGCATCCCTTTTCAAACAAAATGAAGCAACAGCAATACTCTGGAATACCCCCATCCCAAGCACTCGAACGCACATGACACGCACCCACATACTTATACACCCAGTCATACACACATTACAGACATTTCATCAAACACAAACACACATGCGTGCGCGCACACACACACACACTTCAGTCTTACATGAATGAATAACCCTCTGATTCAGTAAGAGAAAAGGGAGAATCAGTCTATGAGGTTCTATAATTAGAGGAGCTTTCGGGAGGGAAACTGCTGAGTAGTTGAACATTTCATGTGAAGCCTGGAGGCGTCACAGTGGCAGAGTGCAGGCACAGGCCCCAGCTCCACAACCATTGCCCCCTGAGCTCCAATTCACCAACACAGATCAGGGCCTACCAACCGACCAGCGGGCATGAAAGACAGGGAGGGGACGGGTAGTTAGAGGGAGAAAGAGAATAAGGGAGAAGGTGCTGAGACATGTCAATTAGGACAGTGCATGTGAGTGGAGAGGAGTAGAGAGGAGACAGAGATGTCACATGGGCCTAGTATGGTTGACTGTTAGGCTGACTTACAGGGGACAGTACCCTGAAGCTTGTGGTTAAAGTTAAGGCCTTAACAAACTATGATTGTGAGAATAGTTCCACTATATGGGACCTGAGACTACTAATGACGTCAGCATTTCTAATAAATAGAGGTCCCTTATGGGAATATAGTTGTGGGGAAGTGAGTATTGATTTTCCTATTAGTTGTTGAGGACAGATGGTAACTAGAGCAAGCGGCTGGATATCATGCTTTCAGGGTTGCATGTCGTCACCTCGTTTCTCGCTCAATGGAATGATACACTACATGACCAAAAGTATGTGGACACCTGCTCAACAAACATTTCATTCCAAAATCATGGGCATTAATATGGAGTTGGTCCCCCCTTTGCTATTATAACAGCCTCCACTCTTCTGGAAAGGCTTTCCACAAGATATTGGAACATTGCTGCGGGGACATTCACCCACAAGAGCATTAGTGAGGTCGGGCACTGATGTTGGGCGATTAGGCCTGGCTCGCAGTCGACGTTCCAATTCATCCCAAAAGGTGCTCGACGGGGTTGAGGTCAGGCCTCTGTGCAGGCCAGTCAAGTTCTTCCACACCGATCTCAACAAACCATTTCTGTATGGACCTCGCTTTGTGCACTGGGGCATTGTCATGCTGAAACAGGAAAGGGCCTTCCCCAAACTGTTGCCACAAATTTGGAAGCACAGAATCGTCTAGAATGTCATTGTATGCTGTAGCGTTAAGATTTTCCTTCACTGGAACTAAGGGGCCTAGCCCGAACCATGATTTACAGCCCCAGACCATTATTCCTCCTCCACCAAACTGTACAGTTGGCCCTATGCATTCGGGCAGGTAGCGTTGTCCTGGCATCCGCCAAAAATCCAGATTTGCCCGTTGGGCGGCCAGATGGTGAAGAGTGAATCATCACTCCAGAGAACGCGTGTCCACTGCTCCAGAGTCCAATGGCGGCGAGCTTTACACCACTCCAGCCGACGCTTGGCATTGCGCATGGTGATCTTATGCTTGTGTGAGGCTGTTAGGCCATGGAAACCCACTCACCCAACTAACAGTTCTTGTGCTGACGTTGCTTCAAGAGGCAGTTTGGAACTCGGTAGTGAGTGTTACAACCGAGGACAGACCATTTTTACTCGCTACGTGCTTCAGCACTCGGCGGTCATGTTCTGTGAGCTTGTGTGGCCTACCACTTCGCGGCTGAGCCGATTTTGCTCCTAGACGTTTCCACTTCACAATAACAGCACTTACAGTTGACCGGGGCAGCTCTAGCAGGGTAGAAATTTGACGAACTGACTTGCTGGAAAGGTGGCATCCTATGACGGTGCCACGTTGAAAGTCACTGAGCTCTTCAGTAAGGCCATTCTACTGCCAATGTTTGTCTATGGAGATTGCATGGCTGTGTGCTCGATTTTATACACCTGTCAGCAACAGGTGTGGCTGAAATAGTCAAAACCACTCATTTGAAGGGGTGTCAACATACTTTTGTATATATAATGTATTAATATTATGTCCTCAATAATGCTTTTGGGACAAACAGGGGAGTGGTGGTAGCAGGAATGAATGAGTGAAAGAGTGAGGGGGTGAGAGAGGACAAAACTGAGAATGAGATGGCATCCGACACGACAGGCATTTTGAAATAGAGATGTCAAAGAATGCTCAGAGGAGCTAAGCATTAGTTCACCTGACACTACTGTACAAACATGCATGTATACTGAACAAAATTATAAATGCAACATGCAACAATTTCAACGATTTTAGTGAGTTACAGTTCATATAAGGAAATCAGTCAATTGAAATAAAGTAATTAGGCCCTAATCTATGGATTGCACATGACTGGGCAGGTGTGCAGCCATGGGTGGGCCTGGGAGGGCATAGGCCCACCCACTGGGGAGCCAAGCCCAGCCAATCAGAATTAGTTTTTCCCCACAGAATGGCTTTATTACATACAGAAATACTCCTCATTTTCAGCAGCTGTCTGGGTGGCTGGTCTCAGACGATCCCGCAGGATATGGAGGTCCTAGGCTGGTGTGGTTACATGTGGTCTGTGGTTGTGAGGCCGGTTGGGCGTACTACCAAATTCTCTAAAACGGCTTATGGTCGAGAAATTAATATTATATTCTCTGGCAACAGCTCTGGTGGACAGTTCTACAGTCAGCATGTCAATTGCACGCTCCCTCAAAACATGAGACATCTGTGGCATTGCGTTGTGTGACAAAACTGCACATTTTAGAGTGGCCTAATATCGTCCCCAGCACAAGGTGCACCTGTGTAATGATCACGCTGTTTAATCAGCTTCTTGATATGCCACACCTGTCAGGTGGATGGATTATCTTGGCAAAGGAGAAATGCTCACTAACAGGGCTGTAAACAAATTTGTGCATTTGTTTTTTGAGAAATAAGCTTTTTATGCATATGAAAAACAAACGCGTACACAGTATGTACTATAGTACACTGTATCACCAGCCATGACTCACTGTTAGATTACTGTGTAATTGTTTTATACTCAAGAATGACGAGTTGTCAGAACATGCACAATAATATGGGATATATACCTTTAGCTGTTCATATAAACTGACCATGTAACGAACAGTAACACATCCGTCAGTTAAGATATCTATATGTTACTTCCCATAATGTAGCCTACCTATTAGGCAACTAAGCGGCATGACGTTCCAAGCCACATGATGAAAATGCGTAAAAATCTATATATTGGATGTTGCAATTTGTGTCAAGGTCCATTACGGCAGACTAGTCTTACCTCAAGGGTTGGTACGAGACCGTTTTCTGGGATCCGCTGTGAATGCTCATTCGTCAATGGCGATGCGCAGTGATTGCTTGCTTTGGGCGTATTGAGATCCTCGTTATGTCTAGGCTATTTCATCTCAGACTCTTATACGCGACCTGACACACTGTTCCTAAAATATCAAAATTGACTATATCTAGGCGTTCAGATTGAATATGAAATACAGCTCGCGCCCTGTCCCCTCCTTGGAGAGCAACATAATCATCTTTGCAGTTTCCTTCTTTGCTTTCTCATGGAGGAAAGCCCTAGTCCGTGACGCAACCAACAGAGAACAAGGAAACCCCACCCGTCCGTGGTGACATCACCTTTGGAAGCTCAAAATGCATTTACAGTGTATGTAAATAACCACGTAAACGTCAATATTTTGGTTCTGTGGAATGAAATCCCCTGGAACTTGCTGACCATTATTTGTGTAGAGTTCCGATTAGATATGGGTAATGTAGCCTACTGAATTTCATCCAACTTTCCAGATATGATTGAGTGGTGGCGCAATGTTCCTGGATCCATTTGCTCAAATTACATCTTTCCAGCCCTATTACACCTTTGACAAGTATGAACGTTAGCCAAATCACAATGCTGGCTAATGCAAACTAATTTGTTATGTTCCATAAAAACATCCACCCATCTATGCCCATTATGCAAAGTGAACCATGACTCAATTCACATTGAGGTAATGGCAGTTCAGCGTTATATTAGTAGCAAGTAATGCAATATTATATAAGTAATATGCAGCACAAAGGGAGGCTACAAAATGTTGTCGTGATTGTAGAAAAGCTTCTTTTTTTATTAGAAGGGTAACAATCAAAGTCAATTTCAAGATGGCTCCACTTATTCCTGGTAGAATGCACTGCATTATGCGTGCTCATCCTCCAGAAACATTTCAAAATTAAGTACAACATTTCCTCCTTCCCCTCCCTCCCTTGTTTCCATTGCCAGGATTGGAGAAGCAGGGATTCAGACAGCTGAAAAAAAAAAAAAAAAGTATTGGGTGAATTTAAACATATGAGACAAGCGCACAAAAATTCTAACAAAATACTGAGTTTTGGGTCATTCAAAGCTGCAAGAGGCAGAACATGTACAGACAAGTTGCTCCATTGGACATTGACAGGTCCTTGTGTATTGTTCTACTTAACAATCCTGTCCATCTAGTGCAATTAGGCTTCCAGCATCCATTTCTAAAACGTAGTGCATTAACAATCAAAAGAGTCAGCCGTCAGGCTTTACATAAGTTTAAATTAACTTAACACTGCACTACACCGTGACTTAGCAGCACATTAACAATGATTTGCCAGTAGCAAACTTGCCTACAGGAACTAAAGCAACATTTAATAGTCATTGTTTTGATTCTTAACATTATCTAGTCAAGCTAGGAAAATTCCCACAGCAACCCTACTGGCCAATATAGCTTTACACAATACAACTGCTATGGTTTTCTGACTACACTGAGAACATCAGAGATAAATCACAGTCGGCATGCAGATGTTTCAACCAAATGCAGAGGTCACAGTTGACTAAAGTGAGGGAGAGGGGACAAAAATCTAGAAAGGGAAGCGGAAAGGACAAAGGAGTGAACAGGTAGCCTATTCATAGAGTGGGATGGAAATAGTCTCAATAGGAACATAAAATAGTGTTGTTGGTTAAGAGGAACTAAATATACATTGGTATGACAGGTACTTTTTGTTTGTGGCTATGCTCTAGAAAAAAGGCATGCTTTCACTCTCTAACCAAAGAACATTAAACCACACAACGTGTCAAAGTACAAGAGTCAGTAGACTCATAATGAATTTCTGAGTAGACTTTGACATTCTACGACATTAACATTATCTATCCAGTCGTTCCTTTTTCAAACTAATGAGGACACATTACATTAAAGACATTCTTAATCAAATCCCCATTCCCTTCTGCTTGCTCAATTTAATCCAAGGGACCATCAATTAAGCTACATTACCACTGATATGTATACCAGACCCAAGGGGACATTACAATTATCTTATACACGCCATTATAACCAGCTATTCTCTGTAGTTTCCAGGAGAAGTCCCAGCAGTGGAGAGCATTCAAGTACAAGTACAGTAGGGAAAAAAAGTATTTAGTCAGCCACCAATTGTGCAAGTTCTCCCACTTAAAAAGATGAGAGAGGCCTGTAATTTTCATCATAGGTACACGTCAACTATGACAGACAAATTGAGAAAAGAAAATCCAGAAAATCACATTGTAGGATTTTTTATGAATTATTTGCAAATTATGGTGGAAAATAAGTATTTGGTCACCTACAAACAAGCAAGATTTCTGGCTCTCACAGACCTGTATCTTCTTCTTTAAGAGGCTCCTCTGTCCTCCACTCGTTACCTGTATTAATGGCACCTGTTTGAACTTGTTATCAGTATAAAAGACACCTGTCCACAACCTCAAACAGTCACACTCCAAACTCCACTATGGCCAAGACCAAAGAGCTGTCAAAGGACACCAGAAACAAAACTGTAGACCTGCACCAGGCTGGGAAGACTGAATCTGCAATAGGTAAGCAGCTTGGTTTGAAGAAATCAACTGTGGGAGCAATTATTAGGAAATGGAAGACATACAAGACCACTGATAATCTCCCTCGATCTGGGGCTCCACGCAAGATCTCACCCCGTGGGGTCAAAATGATCACAAGAACGGTGAGCAAAAATCCCAGAACCACACAGGGGGACCTAGTGAATGACCTGCAGAGAGCTGGGACCAAAGTAACAAAGCCTACCATCAGTAACACACTACACCGCCAGGGACTCAAATCCTGCAGTGCCAGACGTGTCCCCCTGCTTAAGCCAGTACATGTCCAGGCCCGTCTGAAGTTTGCTAGAGTGCATTTGGATGATCCAGAAGAGGATTGGGAGAATGTCATATGGTCAGATGAAACCAAAATAGAACTTTTTGGTAAAAACTCAACTCGTCATGTTTGGAGGACAAAGAATGCTGAGTTGCATCCAAAGAACACCATACCTACTGTGAAGCATGGGGGTGGAAACATCATGCTTTGGGGCTGTTTTTCTGCAAAAGGGACCAGGACGACTGATCCGTGTAAAGGAAAGAATGAATGGGGCCATGTATCGTGAGATTTTGAGTGAAAACCTCCTTCCATTAGCAAGGGTATTGAAGATGAAACGTGGCTGGGTCTTTCAGCATGACAATGATCCCAAACACACCGCCCGGGCAACGAAGGAGTGGCTTCGTAAGAAGCATTTCAAGGTCCTGGAGTGGCCTAGCCAGTCTCCAGATCTCAACCCCATAGAAAATCTTTGGAGGGAGTTGAAAGTCCGTGTTGCCCAGCGACAGCCCCAAAACATCACTGCTCTAGAGGAGATCTGCATGGAGGAATGGGCCAAAATACCAGCAACAGTGTGTGAAAACCTTGTGAAGACTTACAGAAAACGTTTGACCTGTGTCATTGCCAACAAAGGGTATATAACAAAGTATTGAGAAACTTTTGTTATTGACCAAATACTTATTTTCCACCATAATTTGCAAATAAATTCATTAAAAATCCTACAATGTGATTTTCTGGAATTCTTTTTCTCATTTTGTCTGTCATAGTTGACGTGTACCTATGATGAAAATTACAGGCCTCTCATCTTTTTAAGTGGGAGAACTTGCACAATTGGTGGCTGACTAAATACTTTTTTTCCCCACTGCAGAGACGAAGAGGGGGAGGAGAGTTGGAAAGCGAGACGAAAGGAGCACGGACCAGAGTCCTGAGAGTGAAGGAGAGACTGAAGAGGAGAAATGGTAGGGAGCTTAGACGAAGAGCACCAGGTCTTTACGGGTGGCGGCTGTGGCCGAAGAAAAGGCGGCGAGGATGGAGGCGAAGACGACGTCGGGGGACTGGGCGGCGTCAATGGCCTTGTGCAGGCCGCGGACGCTGTAGTACTTGACTAGGGGCATCGTCTGCCGGTGGTAGGCCTCCAGCCGCGAGCGCAGCGTCGACGCGTTGTCGTCGCTGCGGCGCATCAGCGGCTCCCCTGTCACCTGATGGGGGACAGAGAGAGAGAAGACATTAGGGTTCATATGACTGAAAAGTGCCATTTTGGTTTCTCTCCTGTTCTTTTTTCCCCCTTCCTCCCTACACCTTCAGAGTTTACAGATCTATAAAAATTTGATAGGTTCAGGCAATATGGTGATGGCTCCCACTAGCCCTCCAGTTGGCCAAGTGCATCTTCTACCATATTAATTACCTCCTATCTAGTCCTTTCGGATCTATGATGAACACAGAAGGGCTTGTGAAGGCCTTGAGCTGTGTCAAATAGCTTTCCAAGCATCTCTAGGTACCACACACATTACAACTCCTTTTGTTTGTGTGTTGAAAGCCATCTCTGTGCTGAGCATCTGAAACAAGAGCTCAAAGCCACTAGCACGGAGCAACTCCTAGCCAAGGGATTGTGTGTCACAACACTTGTGAAAGACTGTTTACAAATGAGCCACTGCGTTCTTCATATTACACACACCTATAAAGAACACACTTGTTAAAGTGTATATTTGCCCACAAACACTTTCTGAGCACACACACACTTTTTGAAGTGCAAATTGACCCAGAAACACATTTGAAAACCTGTGATTAGCGGATTATACAACTAGCTGCCTCTGGGTTCTATAATAGAAGTAGGGACTCGCGAGGGGGATGTCCGCGACAAGGTACTTACGTCATCCTTCATGGGCTCTTTGGGTGGGTTGAACTCCTCGTGGTAGGAGCGACCGCTAGGCTGGTGAATTAGTCTGAGGGGGGAGAGGAGAAGGTTAGTTGGCCACAACACTCCCGTCCTCCATCAAAGCCACCACACTGCCCTTGGCCCACTTCAAAAGGCTTACACCACATCCCATAATGGCCACACAAAGAACCCCTTTAGACATGCTGATGTAAACATTTGGAATGGACTACAGGTACATCATTTCCTCTGTATGAAGCCGTGTCCTCAATACACAATACAGAGCATTGTTTGTTGTGGATGAGGGAGGTATTGCTCTGCTTCATAACAATTTATCCAACAAATGGTCTATAATAACTAGATCACACCACAGGTCACTGCAGCACGACTCCCCCGCTCTTCTCAGCCTATACAATATTTGGTCCTACCTGCCACAGATCCTCCGCACCAGTAGGGAGTCATCGACGGAGAACTCAATTACAGAGTCTAGCTTCTCTGTGCGCTTCTCCAGCAAGTTATCCAGCTAGGAGACAGAGGGACTCATGAAACATAGGAGCAGGGAGGAAACAGGTTCATATGCACAGTGGTGTAGTGGTGGGTAAACGCAGTTTACGCATCTTTTTCATTTTGCGCGACAGTTTACCCACCTTTTGCAGAAAAATGCATTGAACGTGTAGGAAGCATTACTTTTTTCACCGCGACCGGCAATCAGTTTACCCACCTATTTTTTTACCACTACATCACTGCATATGCTTGATTAACAGCAAAAGACAAACTTTTGCTCTGGGGATTGACAGCAAAATGGAGTCAGGTGCCAACCAATCCTCACCATCTCTGCTTGTTTCACTGTGCGGGGGAATCCGTCCAATAGGAACCCCTTCTTACAGGGAGGCGTGTCCAGGTTCTTTTCTATGAGTTCTACCACCATCTCGTCACTGACCTATGAGTAATTTGACAGGAGTAAGTTGACAGTGATGAGCAGTGAGACAAAAGGCATGAGCACACACAATTGGGACAGAGGTCCAAGTAAACCGGTCTCAGATTACCACTAAACTACAGCACCAGTGACACAAAACAGATTCATTCCTATTAAATGAGCAGAGACATGTTCAGAACTAACATATGAACACACACACTACACCTCTTACCAGTTTCCCGGTATCCATGGTCTCCTTGAGCCTCTTGCCGAGTTCAGAGCCAGACGCCACCATGGCCCTCAGCATGTCCCCAGTGGCCAGATGACACACGCAGTACTGCTCTGCCAACCGAGGAGCCTGGGAGGGAGGGTGAGTATTGGCATTAGGCCTAATGTTACAAAGGCAACAAGGGTAGCATTTATGTAGACATGTCTCATGTTTCAAAATCGTAACTTGACAACTCTGAAAGAGAAGAGTAAGGCAAAGCATTTCCACCCCCCAACCTGTCAAACTATTACAACAGGTGGGAGCCCTTCAAGGCATTAAAGTCGTGCTGAATCTTAAATGGCTGGCTGTCGTCGATTGAAACATCCCTCCAGCTACAGCTGCAACATAGCCCACCCATGATATGAGACTAATGTCTAGATGTGTGTGTGGGGAGGGCGTGGGACACTTCTGGAAAAGCAAAAGGTGGGTTGAATAATTAACGCCATAGCACATGCAGTACAGTTGTTTCAAGGACACAATCATGTTGCCATTTGGTTTTTACATTTCAACAGAGTGATGTTCAAGTTGCTCCACAACTGAGAGACAAAGACCAAACCCTCAGGTGACTAACTAAATACTTGGGATCTTCCAAGCCAGACCACAAGTACAGTGCTTATTCCACATTTTGTTGTGTTACAGCCTGAATTCAAAATTGATTAAATAAATAAAAAATTCTCACACCCATCTACACACAATACCCCATAATGACAACGTGAAAACATGTTTAGAAATTTTAGCAAATGTATTGAAAAGGAAATACATAAATATCTAATTTACCTAAGGATTCACACCTCAGATTCAATACATGTTAGAAAATCCCTTTGGCAGCGATTACAGCTGTGAGTCTTTCTGGTTAAGTCTAAGAGCTTTGCACACCTGGATTGTACAATATTTGCCCATTATTCTTTTCAAAATTCTTCAAGCTCTGTCAAATAGGTTGTTGATCATCGCTAGACAACCATTGTCAAGTCTTGCCATAGATTTTCAAGCAGATTTAAGTCAAAACTGTAACTCAGCCACTCAGGAACATTCACTGTCTTCTTGGTAAGCAACTCCAGTGTAGATTTGGCCTTGTTTTAGGAAATGTGAATTCATCTCCCAGTGTCTGGTGGAAAGCAGACAACCATGTTTTCCTCTAGGATTTTGCCTGTGCTTAGCTCCATTCAGTTTATTTTTTTATCCTGAAAAACTCCCCAGACCTAAACTATTACAAGCATACCCATAACATGATGCAGCCACCACTATGCTTGAAAATATGGAGAGTGGTACTCAGTAATGTGTTGTATTGGATTTGCCCCAAACATAACACTTTGTAATCAGGACAAAAAGTTAATTGCTTTGCCACATTTTTTTGCAGTATTACTTTAGTGCAGGGGTGTCAAACTCATTTTAGCTCAGGGGCCACATGGAGGAAAATCTATTCCCAAGTGGGCCGGACCGGAAAAATCATGGTATATATAACTTAAAAACAACAACTTCAGATTGTTTTCTTTGTTTTAATACGATCAACATACAACATAAAGCTGGAGCCTGAGGACAGTGTGTCCAAAATAGTACAAGCACAACATCACTATTAATCATAAAACACGTCAAGTTTATTTGAAAATTCTAAAGAAAAAGAACACACAAACACACAATGCCTCAGTGATTAACAGAACTGTTTCACAGATCACAGAACTATATCAGGGTGTCATTTCTCAGGCAGAAATGTAGATAAAATAATGAAATCCTGTTCCCCAAACAAGTGCAAGAACCACAGAGTCAAGAATAGGTTAAATATACAAATAAAATGAAAACAATTAAAAACAATAGCACATCAACATAAACATACATCTGAAAGCGTTGCTCAAACTCCCGTAACAGTCCCGTTATTTTATCTTTGAACCGCTTCATGTCTGCCACATGTTGGGTCGCGCACACATTTTTCAGACAGGGGAAGTGAGCTGCATCACCACCGGCAAGTTGCGTCTCCCACAATGACAGCTTCAACTTGAAAGAACGTATGCTGTCATAATACTGCGTGACAACTTTGTTGCGCCCTTGCAGCTGTTTGTTCAAGTTATTCAGGTGCTCTGTAACATCCACCATAAATGCAAGGTCCGGCATCCATTCTGCAGAATGAAATTCTAACACTGGTTTGCCCTTTTCTTCCATGAACTGTTCAATTTCTTCTCGTAAATCAAAGAAACGCCTCAGCACAGCACCTCGGCTTAACCATCTTACCTCAGTGTGGTATGGCAGGCCATAGATGTGGTCTTTCTCTCTGAGAAGGCTGTCAAACTGACGGTGATTCAGGCTTCTGGATCGGATGAAATTAACAGTTTGGATGACCACCTTCATGACGTTATCCATCTTTAATGACTTGCAACACAAAGCCTCCTGGTGCAAAATACAGTGAAAATTCAAAAAATCACGTCCTCCATTTGCAGATTGCACTTTCTCTCTGAACTTTGTCACAACGCCTGCTTTTTTCCCGATCATTGAGGGCGCACCATCTGTAGCCAGGCTGACAGCGCGGGACCAGTCCACTCCGACCCTGTCCAGCGCGCCGACGAGTGCGGTAAATATATCAGCTGCTGTCGTTGTATCTGTCATCGGCACCAACTCCACGAACTCCTCGGTGACGGTCAATGTGTCATCAACTCCGCGGATGAAAAAATGGCCAGTTGTGCAACATCTGTAATGTCCGTGCTTTCATCAATTGCAACCGAAAACGCAATAAATGACTTTACTTTTTGCTTCAACTGGCTGTCCAAATCCACTGAAAGATCGGACATCCTGTCTGCAACTGTGTTTCTTGTCAGGCTGATATTTGCAAAAGCCTGCCGCTTTTCAGGGCACACAATCTCCGCTGCCTTCATCATGCATGTTTTTACAAATTCACCCTCACTAAATGGTTTTGAAGCCACTGCGATTTCATTAGCAATGAGGTAGCTAGCTTTCACTGCAGCGTCACCGATGTCTCGGCTGTGAGTAAACACAGACTGCTGTTTCTTCAGACCCGCCAACAGTTCATTCACCTTCTCTCATCTCCGCTGTCCTTGAAAGTTGTCATATTTGTTGGCATGAAGACTCACATAGTGGCGACGAAGGTTATATTCTTTCAGCACTGCAACATGTTCTGAACACACCAAACATACAGCTTTCCCATTCAATTCCGTGATTAAATAGGATGACCATTTTTCTTGGAACACTCTGCACTCTGCGTCCACTTTTCTCTTTTTTGACAGAGACATATTGGGGCAATGAGGGTGCCAAAGCACATAATGTTAAAAGTAGAAGCCGTAATAAATATCGCGGGCAAAACAAAGTAGCTCATTGGCTGCTCGTGCTTGACCTACTTGCTCTGCCCCGGTATAAACAGTTTGCTTGCTTAACACAATTGCTATTGCGCCATCCAGTGGACGCAATTGGAACAGCAGTTTATTTTATTGAAAAATTGCAGCGCATTTTTATACTTAAAAAAATAAAAATAATTTTTTTTTTTTTTTTTTTTAATCATCTCGCGGGCCGGATTAAACCCATTTGCGGGCCTGATGCGGGCCGTACGTTTGACACCCCTGCTTTAGTGCCTTGTTGCAAACAGGATGCATGTTTTGGAATGTTTTATTATGTACAGGCTTCCTTCTTGTCATTGTCAATTAGGTTAGTATTATGGAGTAACTACAATGTTGTTGATCCATCCTCGGTTTTCTCCTATCATAGCCATTAAACTCTAACTGTTTAAAGTCACCATTGGCCTCATGGGGAAATCCCTGAGCGTTCCTTCCTTTCCAGAAACTGAGTTAGGAAGGACGCCTGTATCTTTGTAGTGACTCGGTGTATTGATACATCCATCCAAAGTGTAATTAATAACTTCACCATGCTCAAAAGGGATATTCAATGTCAGCTTTTATTGTAAATTGTTACCCATCTACCAATAGGTGCCCATCTTTGCAATGCATTGGAAAACCTCCCTGGTCTTTGTGGTTGAATCTGTTTTTGAAATTCACTGCGCGACTGAGGGACCTTACAGATAATTGTATGTGTGGGGTACAGAGATGAGGTAGTCATTCAGAAAACGTGTTAAACACTATTATTGCACAGTGTTTATTTATTTTACCTTTATTTAACTAACCTATAGTGGGTTCTAGATTTGTTAAATAAACAAACTTATATTTTAAACTAAAGTAATGCAATAGGCTACAATTATAACATTATCAGAAAAGGGCACAATTTAATGTGAAATAGTTATTACAATTATTATTAATAGTTATTACAGTTATTATCATTGATCCAGTAATGATAGAAGGATAGTAGAGGAAAGGCAAGGGATTACATCTCATTTAGGGAAAGAAGCAGAGTATGAAGATATATTAGGGAGAAAATACCATTAACTGAGGGATATAAAACGTTTAGCTGAAAAAGACAACAGGAATAATTTACCTTACACCCTAATATAGACATTAGACCACACCAGAAGTAGAGATGGCAGGATCACCAGTAGCAATCATGAAGAGAAGGTTCCCAGAAAATAGTGAAGATATTGGTAATATCTCTAACAAATGAGAAAAAGGACCAGAAAGATAGTAACTAAATGGCCAAAGGAGGGAACATTTGATGTAACCGTGATTGTATTGGCTAAAAAATGAAATATGACATTTACAGGGGGGACAGGAACAATAGAAGGGGAGACAGATTTTCCTAGGGGGTTGATCAAATAATTGATAATGGATCATTTGAGATGAGATCACATGTAGCAGATTTAGGGTAATCAATTAAATAATAATTGTATACTCAAGGAATTTTGAGTGGTTTTATGGATTAGTTATGAGGAATTAGATTGATACAAACAATTATTGATGGGTTAGGACTGGGGATATCTGTATCATGTTTTGTGTGTACTAACATCTTTAGATTACTGATGGTAATTGAAGGTTAACAAAATGTATCACCAGGAGAAAGAGAATTAGCTTATCTCATTGGAATGTTGCCCAGGGCGAGGGGGAGCAGTAGTGAAGTTAGGCAGTGAGCTACCAAATCAAGTGGGGCCTGGCTATTTGGGACGAGTGGCCTACAAAATGGGAGTCAGAGAAGGGCAGACTGTCAGATTCAAAATAAGGGTTAGGGACGTAGCCAACGGGTGGGGTACATGTCAATAAGTAGTTTGGGATTATAAAATCCCATTATATTCGTGTTCGGCCCCCACGGCAGATTGTTCCTAGACTCAAGTGTTTAAACACACTTGGGGATGGGGATATGAGACCGGGTGGGACTGAACATCCAGAAAGGGGGTAAAGAGAAATAAAGACATCACCAATTGGAGATAGTAGTAATGTGACAGACTTAAGTTCGGAAGCACAGGAGAGAATTCTAAACCTTACAGCCCCTGTAACCGATGTGTGGTGGGCGTGTGCCAGTAAGGGAAGTGTAAGGCAGAGAATTCCAAAGGGGTGGCTAGATACATGCGCCCTGGTTCTACTGGTTCAGCTAGTTAGAATTAGTCACCAGGAACCAAGGATTAAACAGATGTAGGAGGAGTTTTAACAAGAAGGAGATTAGCCCTATTTAGATGGATGTGATACCAAGGGGGGTATCGGATGGATACCGAGCTATGAAACAATTAGGGGAAGGGTTTACTACCACGTTCTTTTGGTGGGTGAAAATAAACAAAATTGTGAATTGGATTAATTATATCTATTACGACCAACAACGATTTATTGGCTGGACTAGGGATGCAACAGAAGGGATCTTTTTAACAATTATCTGCCATCTCACTCTTATGACTTAGTAAAAAGAGGTTGGCTCTAGATCAGGCAGAAAGGGGTGTTGTCTATAGAATGGTAAGCCATTGTTGTACGTTTATCCCTAACAATACCAGTCCTGACGGGAGTATCTCTAAAGCCCTAGTTGGTTTAGATAAACTATCAGCTGAAATGAAGAGCATGGCTGGAATGGAGGGAAACGGACTGTTCTCCTGGTTGGGGGAGTGGTTTGGTAAGTTCGCATCATTGGTGGTTACTGGATTTCTGACCCTAGTAGTTGTGTTTCTAATATTAATGTGCTGTGCTGCCTGTGTCATTCCTTGTTTGAGAAAGTCTGTTACAGATGTCGTGCATGCGGCTGGTATGATGCCCCTCCTAGGGGCTCAAGAAGGGGATGCAGACACTGAGTCTAGCTTTCGGAAGAAACTGGGGTTGACAAAGGATGACCCTTGGTTTGCTATTGGTGAGGTGGTGGAGTGACACCCTAGTGGGTGTCTAAAGGGGGCCAAAGTTTACTTCCCTGTTTATGTTTTTATTAATCAAGTTAACCATTGTGAATGTTTGTCTTTCCTTATGTGAAGGTTTGAAGTTCCTGGGTGGCTGGTAGCCAACCTAGTACAAGTTGGTGTAGATGTAAGGACTTAGGGTTTTAATTTTTTATTATCATTATTGCCTATTAATAAAAGTGTGATTATTTTTGTTTGTATTGTATTTTAATGAGTGACACCCTGTGTTTTCTTATTTTGGGTTCACACCCAGTGGGTGTGAAAAGGGGGATTGTGGGGATCTATTTTCTTATAACTAGATGTGATGCTTAGCTTAGAAAGAATACATTAATGATTAAACATAATAGGTTTGTACTGTACTGATATAGATTGTTTAATATAACAAGCTGTGATTAATGTGGGGAACTGTTAGGGGGTAGGATGAGATAAGACTTGTGTCTCACATACACACACACTGCCTCTTTGTTAAACCGCTCAAGGACATGTGTTCTGCTACAAAGATGTCTGAGGTTGCTGACTCGAGACAAGTTGTGGAGATAACAACTAATGCCTGGCAACAGTGAAGCGCCAAGGGGATGGGACCAGCCTGTGCACCAACGATAGGCTGAGTAAGTCTAAACCACGCTCAGTCTCTACTCTGATAGGCCAGCAGGGAGCGGGAACTATCTCTGTCAGAGTATTTAAAGAAGAACTTATAACAATGGCTCAGTTCTCTGACTGCCCTGCGTGGTGTTTCAGTGGACCCGTATATACGAACATCATATTTACCATTGAAGTGTTTTGCATTAATTAAAATACTAGTCTATTTTAGAAGACGTGTATTGACCTCTTTTTGTTCCTATACCAGATTTGAATTAACGCAACTTAACACAAGGAAGTACAGAAATCCCCAACTCCGGTCCTGGGAAGCTGCAGGTGTGCCAGCTTTTGTTCCATCTTAAACACACCTGACAAACATACCTCTAACAAAACCCTTCACAACCAGTTATTCACCTGGACCAGAGACTCACAGATGTTAAATAATAATTACATTGAGCTTATTGACAGGGAAGTCAAGAGAGTCTACACGTTCATTGAACCTGGTTAGATCAAGTGAAAGTAGTTGGCTCTGGCCAGCTGGAGAGTATGATTAGCATACAGTCACCTAATGGGACATTGAAAGTTATAGTTCAAAGGTCCCTTCACACAATATGGTGGCATGCGAATCCAGAGACGATTACCACATTGACTGTGTGCCAAGGTGTTGCAAAGTTCACATTCAAACTGGCCAGCACCAGATAGTACGAAGGGAAATAGCTACATTCAACTTAACAAACGCCCATCACCAGTTAGCTAGGCTAGCTAGCAACAACTTTTATTATACTTCCTTCTTCGTCTGATCTATAAACCCAATTAATTACACGAAACTTGGGAAAGCTAGCAGAGATAGCCATCTATGCAAGCCAATTCAGAATGAACTTCAGGACAGGGTGTAACGTTATACAGTTAGGTGGCAGTGTCAGCCATGCGGTTTCCCATTCCTGCACTTTCTTAGCAAGCTAGCATATCTCACTCACCTGAGTTCCTTTCCCAGCACCAGGGGGTCCGAGAAGGATTGCCCGAATTCCCTTTTTTACGTCGGACACTGCTTCATTCAGTTGCGTACTGGGGGCCATGTTCACTTTAATCGTCCTTTTGCCACTTTTATTTTCTGCCAACTCGACCAAGAAAGGAAGTGTCACCGACTTCTTTCTGTCTGTATAGGATTAAAGCCCGCCCCTTATTAGAAAATACTTCCCTCTCATTGGTCATTAGTTGGTTCAGTCAAGTGTCCGACAAGCTGATTTGCTGAAATAGTAAGCCAATTTCTTTTTATAACATCCGGTTTTTCCATATGCAATTATGGATCTTCTTTGGTGAGGGACCATAGAAATGTAAATGACCATTGTTATTAGTTACACTGTTAGAGAAACCTCTATTATTATTAATATTAATATTAATATTAATTGTTAATTATTATTATTATTATTGTTATTATTATTTAATAATTAAGTAATTTTGTTATTATATAATTATTGTTTCATCTGTCGGGAATAATTCAGGCCTCCTGTAGCTCAGTTGGTAGAGCATGGCACTTGCAACGTCAGGGTTGTGGGTTCGATTCCCACGGGGGCCCAGTATGAAAAATGTATGCACTCACTAACTGTAAATCGCTCTGGATAAGAGCGTCTGCTAAATGACTAAAAATGAAAAAAATGTACTGTGTGTAGAGATGCCAGTCGAGGCTCAGGGAATGTTCTTAACCACTGCCAAGATGTGGTCGCTTTTTTCAGCAGCCGTGGCATCACCCAGGTGGGTTCGGCAATGGAGGACCAGTACCTACGGAGAAGCGGGTCCTATGGAGGATCTCGGAGAAGCAGATGACGTGTACTGACGAAGCGCTCAGGGCCTGTTTGTCAGACTGTTTGTTTCTCTCTGGCTCTACAATTGATGCGCCCTCTGCTGAAGCTACAGTGCATTTTCAATCCAAACTGCCTCAACTCCCAGCCTTTCAACCGAAGCCAAATTGAGACATTCAATCTCCTATCAATCTCCATTTGTTGTTTGTTTGTTTAGCTTTTTATACGGTTTGAGATTGTTTTCTGTAATGAAAAGCGTCATACAAGTTAAATAAATAATAATAAGTATTATTATTAACATTGTTATTTGTGTCTAAATACAGGCATTGATTACATATAAATGGCACAGATGTCTTTGTAGGCAAACCCCTGATTAAAGGTTGTTCAAATAATCATTTTCCAACTAACAAGAAAACCAACAAATGTCTATCAAAACCACAGTCTTTCTCTAAATGAAGATGTTTTTAGAAGCAAAAAAGAGAAACATACTTTTAATCAAACTAATCAGATGCCTCATGTACAGTACCAGTCAAAAGTTTGGACAAACCTACTCATTCAAGGGTTTTTCTTTATTTGTACTATTTTCTACATTGTAGAATAATAGTGAGGACATCAAAACTATGAAATAACACATATGGAATCATGTAGTAACCAAAAAAGTGTTAAACAAATCAAAATATATTTTATATTTGAGATTCTTCAAATAGCCTTGACAGTTTTGCACACGCTTGGCATTCTCTCAACCAGCTTCATGATGTAGTCACCTGGAATGCATTTCAATTAACAGGTGTGCCTTCTTAAAAGTTAATTTGTGGAATTTCTTTCCTTCTTAATGCGTTTGAGCCAATCAGTTGTGTTGTGACAAGGTAGGGTTGGTATACAGAAGATAGCCCTATTTGGTAAGAGACCAAGTCCATATTATGGCAAGAACAGCTCAAATAAGCAAAGAGAAACGACAGTCCAGCATTACTTTAAGACATGAAGGACAGTCAATACGGAACATTTAAAGAAATTTGAACGTTTCTTCAAGTGCAGTCGCAAAAACCATCAAGCGCTATGATGAAACTGGCTCTCATGAGGACCGCCACAGGAAAGGAAGACCCAGAGTTACCTCTGCTGCAGAGGATAAGTTCATTAGAGTTACCAGCCTCAGAAATTGCAGCCCAAATAAATGCTTCACAGAGTTAAAGTAACAGACACATCTCAACATCAACTGTTCAGAGGAGACTGCGTTAATCAGACCTTCATGGTTGAATTGCTGCAAAGACACCACTACTAAAGGACACCAATAAGAAGAAGAGACTTGCTTGGGCCAAGAAACACGAGCAATGGACATTAGACCGGTGGAAATCTGTCCTTTGGTATGATGAGTCCAAATTTGAGTTTTCTGATTCCAACCACTGTGTCTTTGTGAGATGCAGAGTAGGTGAACGGATGATCTCCGCATGTGTGGTTCCCACTGTGAAGCATGGAGGAGGAGGTGTGATGGTCCTTTGCTGGTGACGCTGTTTGTGATTTATTTAGAATTCAAGGTACACTTAACCAGCATGGCTACCACAGCATTCTGCAGTGATAATGCCATCCCATCTGGTTTGCGCTTAGTGGGACTATCATTTGTTTTTCAACAGGACAATGACCCAACACACCTCCAGGCTGTGTAAGGGCTATTTGACCAAGAAGGAGAGTGATGGAGTGCTGCATCAGATGACCTGGCCTCCACAATCACCTGACCTCAACCCAAGTGAGATGGTTTGGGATGAGTTGGACCGCAGAGTGAAGAAAAAGCAGCCAACAAGTGCTCAACATATGTGGGAACTCCTTCAACACTGTTGGAAAAGCATTCCAGGTGAAGCTGGTTGAGAGAATGCCAAGAGTGTGCAAAGTTGTCATCAAGGCAAAGGGTGGCTACTTTGAAGAATCTAAAATATAAAATATATTTTGATTTGTTTAACACTTTTTTGGTTACTACATGACTCCATATGTGTTAGTTCATAGTTTTGATGTATTCACTATTATTCTACAATGTAGAAAATAGTAAAAATAAAGAAAAACCCTTGAATGAGTAGGTGTGTCTAAACATTTGACTGGTACTGTAGTTCAGCTACATGTCAATAAGAGAAGAAGCTGTGTGGATGTAAATGATGACCAATGATATGAATAGGCCTACCACTTAATAATTAATAGTGATAGCTAACCTATGTTAGTTGAATGAATGCTATAAACAGAGAAAAGAGAAGTCTTGTCATTGCAGAACTGCATAAAATAATAAAATAAAAAATCACATCCTCTGTCCCTCAGTCCCCATTACATAGAAGAAGTGTCTATTTTGGGTCTGGTATGAGTGTTTAGGATCAGTAACCATCTCAACCCACTGAAAGATAGACACTTACAATAGGTAAGTATGTCTGAAGGAGTAGTTTACGCTGATGTGAAGTTCAAAAAGCAACAAAGGACTGAAGGAAAAGATGGTGGTATGTTCTAAACAAAAATATGTCACTAAAAAATATATTTTTATAGACATGCTGTATGCTCAGGATGTTCAACATAAAGCTTCCTCTATCTGCATCAATATCTATCTAATGTTAAAGGGGCAATCTGGGTTTGGTAAATACATTTTATGACTTTTGAATTAATGATATATAGGCATTGATTCTTGAAGAATATAAGGTAACCATTCTCTCCACTGACTATCTGGCAAACAGGCTACACTCTAGGTAGTCTCTTCTGCTGGTGTGTGTGTATCTGGTAGCGGTACTCTCTCTATCCTACTCTTCTCCTATCGGCAGGGTTAATACCCCAACAAAAATCTTTATCTTTACCCATCTAACAATACTAATACAGCATCACAAATACAGTGGGGAAAAAAAGTATTTAGTCAGCCACCAATTGTGCAAGTTCTCCCACTTAAAAAGATGAGAGAGGCCTGTAATTTTCATCATAGGTACACGTCAACTATGACAGACAAATTGAGGAAAAAAAATCCAGAAAATCACATTGTAGTATTTTTTATGAATTTATTTGCAAATTATGGTGGAAAATAAGTATTTGGTCACCTACAAACAAGCAAGATTTCTGGCTCTCACAGACCTGTAACTTTTTCTTTAAGAGGCTCCTCTGTCCTCCACTCGATACCTGTATTAATGGCACCTGTTTGAACTTGTTATCAGTATAAAAGACACCTGTCCACAACCTCAAACAGTCACACTCCAAACTCCACTATGGCCAAGACCAAAGAGCTGTCAAAGGACACCAGAAACAAAATTGTAGACCTGCACCAGGCTGGGAAGACTGAATCTGCAATAGGTAAGCAGCTTGGTTTGAAGAAATCAACTGTGGGAGCAATTATTAGGAAATGGAAGACATACAAGACCACTGATAATCTCCCTCGATCTGAGCTCCACGCAAGATCTCACCCCGTGGGGTCAAAATGATCACAAGAACGGTGAGCAAAAATCCCAGAACCACACGGGGGGACCTAGTGAATGACCTGCAGAGAGCTGGGACCAAAGTAACAAAGCCTACCATCAGTAACACACTACGCCGCCAGGGACTCAAATCCTGCATTGCAAGACGTGTCCCCCTGCTTAAGCCAGTACATGTCCAGGCCCGTCTGAAGTTTGCTAGAGTGCATTTGGATGATCCAGAAGAGGATTGGGAGAATGTCATATGGTCAGATGAAACCAAAATATAACTTTTTGGTAAAAACTCAACTCGTCGTGTTTGGAGGACAAAGAATGCTGAGTTGCATCCAAAGAACACCATACCTACTGTGAAGCATGGGGGTGGAAACATCATGCTTTGGGGCTGTTTTTCTGCAAAGGGACCAGGACGACTGATCCGTGTAAAGGAAAGAATGAATGGGGCCATGTATCGTGAGATTTTGAGTGAAAACCTCCTTCCATCAGCAAGGGCATTGAAGATGAAACGTGGCGGGGTCTTTCAGCATGACAATGATCCCAAACACACCGCCCGGGCAACGAAGGAGTGGCTTCGTAAGAAGCATATCAAGGTCCTGGAGTGGCCTAGCCAGTCTCCAGATCTCAACCCCATAGAAAATCTTTGGAGGGAGTTGAAAGTCTGTGTTGCCCAGCGACAGCCCCAAAACATCACTGCTCTAGAGGAGATCTGCATGGAGGAATGGGCCAAAATACCAGCAACAGTGTGTGAAAACCTTGTGAAGACTTACAGAAAACGTTTGACCTGTGTCATTGCCAACAAAGGGTATATAACAAAGTATTGAGAAACTTTTGTTATTGACCAAATACTTATTTTCCACCATAATTTGCAAATAAATTCATAAAAAATCCTACAATGTGATTTTCTGGATTTTTTTTCTTCTAATTTTGTCTGTCATAGTTGACGTGTACCTATGA